TTCTTCATTGGCTTTCACTAAAGATATATCTTATATATCTTTGGTTACATTTATCCATTTTTATACAATTATAAATAAATAAATTATACATATTAGTTTTTTACTTGTATTTTGTATATAGAAATCTTTTTTTTAAAACATTGATTTTGAATCCAAGAAACTAGCTAAACTCTCTAATTCTTTATCTATAAATTCTTTAGGGTTTCTACATAACTATTTATATCATTTGTGAATAGTGATAGTTTTGATTCTTTCTTCCGATTTCTTATCATTTTTTTCTCTTTTTTTTTTTTTTTGCCTTTCTGTGTTTGCTGAGACTACCAGTAAAATGTTGAAGATGCTTTCAAGATTGCATCATAATTATGAGGTTTGCTGTCAGTTTTTGATCAGGTTAAGAAAGTTTTGTCTTCTATTCCTATTTTGTTAGAAATTTATGATGGGTGTGAAATTTTATCAAATACTCTTTTCTTAATCAATTCAGATGAGCATGATTTTTCCCCTTTAATTCTGTTAATGTGAAGAATTATATGAATTGGTTTTCCAACATTAAAACAAGCTTGTATTCCTGAGATAAATTCCATGCAGTCTTGGTGTATTAATTTTATTTTTTGATGAAATGGGTTTGCTAATATTTTGTTTTAGATGTTTGTGTCTATGTTAATGAGTGAGACTGGCCTATAATTTTCCTTTCTCAAACTTTCCTTGTGGGTTCTATATCAAATTATGCCTCATGAAAGAAATTAGGAAGGATTCCTTTTCTAACTTTTCTTGAAGAGTCTGTATATTATTGGATTTCTTTTTTTCTACAGGATTTTGTAGAACTTTCTGGGCTAATTTGTGATTGTACAAATTTTTAATTACTGACTCAATGTATTTAATGTTTATAGGCCATTTAGATTTCCTTTCTTCATTATTAAAAAATTACTTCTTTAAAATTTCCTCTTATTACTTTTATGCATCTATAGTATATGCATTATTGTCCCATTTTTATTCCTTATACTGGCTATTTCTGCTTTCTTTTTTTTAGTCTTTCTCATCAGATTTTGAAAATTTTGTCAATTTTCTCAAATAAATAACTTTTGGTTTTGGTGATTCTCTTATGTGTTTTTACATAATTAATTTCTGTTCTTTACTATTTCTAAATTTATTATTTTGTTAATTTTCTAACTTCTTAATTTTTATACTTTTTAATATTCAGCCTTCTTATTTTCTGATATTAAGCATTTAAGGCTATAAATTTTCCTATAAGTATCACTTTAGCTTCACATACATACATACACATATATGTTCTTATAATCTGAGTTCTAAATATTTTCTAATTTCCATTATGATTTTTTGATCTCTAAGTTAGGCCTATATGTGTCTGAATTTGTAAACCTGTGGGGATTTTCCAGGTTCTTTTTTTTTTTTTTTGCTGAGGAAGATTCGCCCTGAGCTAACATCTGTGCCAGTCTTCCTCTATTTTATATGTGGGTCACTGCCACAGCATGGCTGCTGATGAATGGTGTACATCTGTGCCTGGGCCCAAACCCAGGCCACCGAAGCGGAGTGTGCAGAACTTAACCACTAGGCCATGGGGCTGACCCCTCAGGGTCTTTATCATTGTTTGTGTCTAACTTAACTGCTCTGTGATCAGAAAATGTGGACAGCATGATACAATACTTTGAAATGTCTTGAGGCTTGCGTTACAGCCTAGAACTGAATCAGTTTTTGTAAATATTCCACATGGCTTCAAAACAATATGTTCTGTGTTTGTTAGGTTCACTGTTTCATATATGACTATTAAATAAAGCTAATTTATTATATGTATTACTTTGCTAGCGCTGCTGTAGCAACATACCATAGATTGGCTGGCTTGAACAATAGGAATTTATTCTTTCACAATTCTGGAGGTTAGAAGTCAAAGATCAAGGTGTCACAGGGTTGGTTGGTTTCCTCTGAGGCCTCTCTTCTTGGCATGTAGGTGGCCATTTTCTCCCTGTGTCTTCACATGGTCTTCTCTCTGTGTGTGTCTGTATCCTAACATCCTCTTCTTATATAGACACCAGTCATATTGGATTAAGGCCCACCCTGAGGACCTCATTTTAACTTAATTACCTCTTTAAAGACCCTCTCTCCAAATATGGTCACATTCTGAGGTACTAGGGCTTAGAAATTCAACAGATGAATTTAGGGGAAGGGTGGACACAAGTTAGTCCACAACACTGTACTTTTCAAATTCTTTATATCCTTAAAGGTTTTTTTGCTTGCTTCATCAGTCCATTACTGATGGAGAGAAGCATTCAAATCTTCCACTATGATGATGGATTTTTCTATTTCTCTATAAAGTTCTGTCAATTTTTGCTTCATATATTTTGAGGCTATGTTATTAGTGTATATAAGTTTAGAATTTTTATAGCTATTTGGTGAATTGAATATTTTATTATTACGTACTTACCCTTTAGCAATGCTTTTTGTCATATTTTATTTTGTCTGTTAAAATGTAGTTCCATTAGCTTTCTTCCTGTATTTGTGTGGTAAATGTTTCCATCTTTTTACTCTCAACTTTTTTTGTCCTTATGTTTTTTGATGTGTCTTTTATAAAGAGCATAGAGCTGGAGGGATTTATTTAGTATGACAATATTTTTCTTTTAAATAGAGTATTAAGTCCATTTGTATATATTATAATTAATGATATATTTTGATTTTTCTCTACTAACTTACTCTTTTGTGAGAGACAGTATAGCATAGTATTTAAGAGAACAGACTCTAAGAAATATTGCCTGGGTTCGAATACCAGCTCTATTACTTACCACCTGTGTAACTGAGGCTAGTCACTTACAACACTCTGTGTTGTAAGTGTCCTTATCTGCAAAATGGCTACAATAATAATCCTACCTTGTAGTGCTGCTATTAAGTGAGTTAATATACATAAAGTGCTGAGAACAGTGCTAGGCATATAATAAGCACTATATACAAGCTCTCTGTTAATATTTTATTATTATAATTATCACTTTAAATTGACATATTTTTTTCTGTTTCTCTTTTCTTTCCCTTTTTTCTTTCTTTTGTATTGATAGATTTTTTTTCATATTTCATTTCTTGCCTTCCTCCAGTTTGGAAATTATATTCTCTGTTCTATTCTTTTAGGGTTACCCCAGACATTTATCAAGCATACTTATCAAAGTTTAAAGTTAATTATTATCTTTACCCCTTCCTGAGCAATACAAGAACTTTATAACAGTTTAACTCTGAACACCTCCTTTCTCATTTATACACTATTGCTGTTTTCTAGTTTTATGTTAATTGTAAGCCTCATAAATTATTATTATTGGCTTATATAGTCAATAATCATTTAGTTTTACTCACATATCTGCCATTTTCTTTATGAATCTTTCCTTTTTACAGCACAAATTTTCCATCTGGTAACACTTTCTTTCTGTTGAATTATGTCTTTTAAATTGGGTCTGCTGGTGGCACAATTTCTGTTTTTATTGTCTGAAAATACCTTTATATCATGCTTTAAAAAAATGTAAAAATAAGAGGGTTTGTCAACAAATTTAGGTTGACAGATATCTTTTTTTAGCATAGTAAAAATATAATTCTGTAGTTTTCTCGCTTCCATATTTACTATTGAGAAGTATTCCTTTAAAAATCATTGTCTTTGGTGTTCTTCAATGTCACTAAGATGTTTTAAATATGAGTTTCTCTTTAATTTATCCTGGCTGGTTCTTAAATCTGTGGATTGGTGTCTTGCTAGGAAATTTGCAGCCATTAAGTCTTCAAATATTCCTTCTAATCTTCTTTTCTTTTCATTTCTTTATGAAAGTCTTATTATATATAAGTTAGACCTTATCAATCTATTCTTCAGGTCTTTTAACCTCTTTCATATTTTATCTCTTTGTTTCTCCATGTTACTTTCTGATTAATCTCCTCAGATCTGTCTTACATTTCATTAATTCTCTCTTTAGCTGTTAAACTCATCCATCAAATTTTTAAAATTTCATATGTTTTAATACTTAGAAGTTCTTTTTTATTAATTTCAAAATAGACTTGCTCATTTAAAAAAATTAATTTTTTTTATTCTGTGTCTAATAAGTGAAAGATTTGAAGTCTTTCCAGGTCTGATTTCGCCTTCTGTTGTTGCTACTGGCTCTCACTTTGTGTGCATTGTTTCTATGTGTACTCTTTCCCTCCCTCTTCCTCAATCTCTCGCCTATGTCTCTATTTGATTCACTGAGTTCATGTTTATTGCAATTTTTTTAGTGCTTTTATTTTGAGGTCTGGGTTGAAGCTGGGGCCATTCACTTCTGCTATGTGCTTGGGAACACATCTTGTACTGGACCATTTTAAACTAAATTATCAGCTTGAGATTTCTTGGAAGACACAGTATTGTAAATTTGGCCTGCCAGTATGTGTGCTCACTTGCTTGCCATTACACATTTTTAGGGGAGCACTTTCCTCCCTCAACTCAGCACCAAAACTCAAGACTAACAATTTAAATGTAGATTTAGGGTTATGGTTATTTAGAGAGTGCATAACCATTTTGGGTACTAGCTTTATGCAGGGAGCTTCCTACTAGACCCTTCACCTAAGCAAGCTCCGGGTTTTGACCTCTCTCGTAACAGGGCCATATACGCAATTGTGCACTGCACAATTCTAGGGGGCATTTTTCATATAGATATACACTAGAGTTTATATGACATATCTGGTGGCCCTGTCATCATCCCCACAAGATGGTGAAACTAAAGCTTAAGTTCACCAGGTTCAGCAATTGCCTCAGGGTGAAAGCTGGTTCAGTGCTTTGATTTTATAATTCTATAACTGATAGAACTTAAATGAAGAGTAAAGACGGTGTCTTCTCACTTTTGAAGTCCTTTAAAGGATAGGCATCCTCAGTATCTTATGAACTGAGTTGATTTGCCAATCATCATTTTAACAAAAACATCCATCACTTGCCCCATTAAAGAAAAGGTAACATGATAAGAGGGTGTTTATTGCTTTGCTTTGTTTATTTGTAGATGCGGACTTGCCAGTTGTTCTCCAGCCTGCAAATGCAAATGAGAAAACACAGCTAATCAGAGAAGAACCTCGAAGTTATTGCATGGACTCATAATATTGAGCCCACTGAGGGTTCCCAGTACCTCCTCTTGGTTCAGCCATGTCTCCAAGTGGTTATGGGGGGAAGGGCATGTAGCATGAAATGCTGTGAACTTTTCCACATTTGTATTTAATTCTTAGGTTAGGGAATACGATTGCTACATAATTTTCTCAGTATGCAGTCTCACTCTGAGTAGAATTCCTGATGAAACACATTCCATTTTGATGAATAAAGGCCTGAAGAGTTGTTTTATGCTCCTTGCATGAGGTAAGACAGTGGCACCGGACAGGCTTTCTGAGCCTGGCTTTTGTGTGAGGCAGACTTCATTCCTTACAGACTAAAGCAGTATTCCAAACAGAAGCCACGTTTCATCTGTTTAACTAAATACAATATTCATACTTGTCACAATTATCATCAGCAAAATACACATGAGAATTTAGGAGGAATTTTGTGTGTATATGGAGATTTTCTCTGTCAATGTTCATTCTGGCTACAGAAATATTTTAAGAGGCAGGAAGAAATTATTAGGTAAAAAGACAAATCACATTATTTTAAAGTATTTTTTTGAAAGATTAAAAATTGTCATTTACTGAAAACTGACAAGTAAAACCAGGAAGAAACAGGTTTTGTGTGTACTTTTAAACTGGCATAAAAACAAAACTTCAACCTGGTTAAATGTTATAAATGATCCAGAAAATCATCCTGAGCCCAAACCAGCCCCAAGAAATGTGCTGACCATTTTTAAGTAAAAGTAATTTTTGTACAATTGGCCTAGATTAGACAGACTAAGGAAAAGAAACACATGAGGTAAAGGGTAGAATTCTAAATTTTATAGCCTAAATTTAAATTTAAAGTCATATCATTTACTTCATTTTCAGTGGGATTAATTATATTGACCAGAAAATGCTTAGCTCTGTGCATGTTAAACATTGAAGCTCAGAGGTCATCTCTGCATTTACTTGTTTGATCTTTATATTCATCATGTGGTCAAAACCATGTACTATTTATAAAATAGTATAGCAGCAAAAGTGTTTGTTTTTTCTAGATCTTTCTTAGTTCTTTATGTAATACTGCATTTTTCAAGATCTTGTTATGTTTTTATATAATATTGCATGAAATGCCATTTTCTCTCTTCTTTGTTTCTTCTTCCCCACCACTACCAAATTACAGTCAGTTAAGGCTAAATATACACTGTAAGTGAGAATTGGCGTTATAGCACTTGCAGTTCTGAAGTCATTAAAACTCTACTAACATCAGTTTCTGGAATTTTTTTTTTAATTGACATACTCAACTTGAAAGAGCTCTGGTTTGAAAGTTAAGAAACCTGGTTCTAATCTAAGCTTTCACTACCTAGCCCTGTGACCTAGTGAGATGAGAATAATATGGCTGATCGCTCTACGGCTCCATTTTCATACCTGTCCTGACCACCTTCCGAATTGCTGTGAGACCTGATAAAATAGCTGAGGTGAAAGAACTCTGACAAGTCAAGTGTTGAACAAATAGAAGGTGGTTTTACATGAATTTGCATATGCTGATACATATAGACAAATGTAATGTGACTTCTCATGTATATAAATTCTTTCACCCAACAAGACCCATGAAGATACCCAGTACTACCAGCCCAGGTGACTAGCAAGTGTTCGCAACTCTGTATTCAACAAACAAGTGCTACTTTCCATTTGAAAGGAACAATGAGATAAATGGTCCTGTCTGTGGATCATTTGAGCCACTACATTTCCTTTCTGAGGTCTCTTTTTATTTTTCTTTTTCACACGGAATTTTTTACTTCCACTTCCACTTTGCCCAGAGAGCTGGTACAAGAGTGGTTAAGATGAGAACAGGGCATGAATCAGAATCAGACGGTGGAATTAAATTCCTAGAGGGGTTCTGGCCAATGTTCCCCACAAAGGGCTAATTTCTGGTTACAATGATATGTGGTAAAAGCAAGCACATGGATGCCTACGAATGAGGAAATGAATTCTACAGAATGCCCCTTAGCTACATAGAAGCAAGGATCAACTCTTCATGTTAGGAGGGGCCCCTGAAGCATCTTGTGGGGGTCAACAGGAGCTGCCATCCGGAATCACCTGCAGTTATTCTGAATCCATAAGCATCTTAGCAGAGAAGCATCAAGGAAAGAAGGGACATGATTACCATGATCCTCAGCAATGGTTGCATGGCTTTGGTTCATGCAGGGTCAAATGAACTGCCCACTTCAGTGGCTCACTACCTAATCCTGGGTTCCAGGCTACCAGAGTAGGGATTTCATATAAGGTTGCATAGGTCATCCATTTATTTTTTTGCTGTCTTACATTAGAACATAATAAAAAACATATATATGCATTTTTCTTTACCAAAATATACATATCTTAATTCTTTGAGAATAAATGACATGCTATTTCTGCCTTTCAAATGCTATGTTTGCTAAAACACATTTTGACATGGCCTAGCCTTGAAATACACTCACCTGGTAATGCACTGCCTGATCTTTTGACCAATTAAGACTATATGATCTCTGTGGTTGGCACAGTAATGGACCCCCAAGATGTGCATATCCTAATTCCCAGAACCAGTGACTATATCACCTTTCATGGCAAAAGGGACTTTGCAGATGTGATTGTTAAGGACCCTGAGATAGGAAGATTATCCTGGATTATCCAAGTGGGCCCAATCTAATCACATGGGTCCTTAAAAATCAAAAACCTTTCCTGGCAATGGAGAGAGAGAGATGTGACTACAGAAGAATGGTCAGAGAGATACTATGAAGGTAAAGGAGGGAGGGGGCCATGAGCCAAGGTATGCAGGCAACTTCTAAAAGCTGGAAAACTCAAGAAAACGGATTCTCCTCTAGAGCCTTCAAAAAGAAACACAGCCCTGCCACCACCTTAATTTTCATCTGCTGACATCTGTGTCAAACTTCTCATCTCCAAAACTGTGTGTTTAACACTGAATCAGTACTCCCTACTTGTTTTTTCATTGTCTTTGCTCCTTATTCTATATTTCTTCTTTTCACTTTCTCATCCTGAGTCTCTTTCACTTCCTCTTTTCCTTTGTACCTTCTCTTCCCTGTTTCTCAGTATTCCATCTCTTTCCCTGTCCTCCTCCCCTCTGCCACTTGACCTTCTTTCCTTTGACCCTCATTTCTCATAGTCTCCTATTCTCTCTGCTCACCACTGTCAACTTTTGACCTTCACATTTACTGGTCTTTTATATAAACTGAACTATTGTGAATCTACCCCAACTGGTAGGGGAGGGAGAGATAGGAAATAGTCTGGGTAACAGAATATTCTTAAAGGAATGTCTTTCCCCCCCCAACTTCAAGCACAAATAATCACAATGCTACTAGGCAAAGGGGGAATAAAAGTATTTTTCAAACAGTTCTCTGAGTGTATTGACAAATAGAAATAATTTAGAGTGACCACATTCATGATTTGAATGTATGGCAAGGTAATTTATTGAGACATTAATTTTGTTTTGTCCTTAGTGCTTTAGGAGACTCAAAGGAATGAGGGCTCCCCCCTTCTGAGTTTCATCTTTAAAAGGTGACTCTCTTGCTACCATAGCCTTAGAGGTTAAACACAAAGGTAGTCAGACACCCGGAAAACAACAACCCAGGCTTTTGTTTGGGAGCTTGGGCTGTTAGAAAGTTGCATGCTGAAATTTGAAGAAGAGAAGTAGTCTCAGCATGAGGGGCCTCTAGAATGGGTTTGGGAAGTTGGGGAGGATTTCCCAGAATAGCCCAGACTTGTGTCCTCACAGGGGAAATCCCCTATGATGGGATAGCACTTGGATGCCCAGGTAACAAAACTAAGCCATGGCTTCGTAGCCATAACAAAAGATTTCTGTACCCACATCTGGCCCCTCAAAGGAGCCATGCAGGGTTGGACACCGGACCTCAGAAGCAACCAGGCTGGAGAAGGATGAGGGGCTTGGAACTCCCTTGGAGGATGAAGACATAAACCCTTGCAGACCCCTTACATCCCTAGGAAGGAGAGGAACTCTCAAAACCTGGCTGAGGTGAAATGTCTCGCTACCCTGTTAAACTGCAGCTCTGAGGGAGAGATTAATTTAAAGCATATAATGTATTTAGAGCATGAAGAGACTTCCTCCAGATCTTTTCTCAAATATCACTTCTCTGTAGGCTTTCCCAGCCACTCTGCCTGGAACTGTAACATCCCCTCCTCACGCTTCTATTCTCTTCTCTACTTTCTCTCCTTAGGACCTCTCACTAACATACTTTTTATCTTGATTGTTGTCTGTCTGCTACACCACAAGGACAAAGATTTTTGTCTGTTTCTGTGTCTTGCTGAATGTCCAGTGCTTAAAACAGTGCCTGACACATGGCAGACAGTGGGGAATATTTATTATATGAGTAAATGTTTAAGCTGTTGTAGAATAGAGAAATTCCTGCCTGCTAGAAACTCAAAAGCTGCTAAAATCCTTAGTTTGTAGAGAGTCTTAGCATATTAATTTTTTGCATATTAATTTTTTGCATATTAATATGCAACGCATCTAAGTAACATTCTTCTTCATATTATTCCTGAGCAGTTCTAGACTACAAAGCACCAGAAATTTAGATTAAGTCATGAATAACCAGTTGCTATAAAACAAAGCCATTTCCAAACTGTAGATGACTCAAATTAGCAGTGATTTCCAGAACTACATCTTAGAGTCAGAGTTTACACAGTGCTAAATACTGTGCACAGTGCTAAAAACGAAGCAGGAAACTAACAAATGCCTATCGATTAATTGTTTAAATCTCACAACATATGCCATTTCTGAGAAAAGCCTTTCTCCAAAAGGAGAACTAAACATGCTCAGTGCCAAAGGAATGGGTAAGTGTGATACGACTTTCTGGAATTTTCATGCTGTTCCAGGGCTGTCCCCGAGAAGCAAAACTAAATTCCTAGAATCAAATCAGCCGCAAGAGCACAACTGCAAACACATTCCGCTCACCGCTGGGCTGCCAACTGAGCTTTCTAATAGCTGAAAATCTGATTATCAGCTTCTCTAAGGCCTAAGAGCCTCCCAGGCACATCCTTGTTCCCAAGGCCGGGAAGAGGGGATCTTACCTAGGGAGGGTTTTTAACTTTTACTTCTGAGTAATCTGCTCTGGTACCCAAATATCTCCACTCCTGAGATGTTGTTCAGATTCACCTCTTCTCAGTTTCATCTACAATACACTTGCTTTTCTGGTGAAGAATAACTGGGGGAAACTTTTTAGTGCAGATTTTCACTTTGGGAGT